GTAGCAAATGGCCTTGAGAAAGACAGCATCTATCATCTCGCTGAGAAGAAAATAGCTTCAATCCATGGGCATACAATGGGCTTCAAACTAGAGCAGTTCATATTTGATGCATTTCCTTATACTCCTTCAACAGCACTCTTTGAGGTTGGTCGATTTTGACATTTTTCCATGAATCCCACCTGCCAGTTTTTAAATAGCAAAGCCAATTGAGTCATTGAGGATTCCTAACTCATTTCTGTATAGGTACTGAGGGAAGAAGAATTTGCTCCTGTGAAAAATGCAAATGGGACCAACTTTGACACTCCAGATAGTGCCAGGCAAGGACTACAAATCCCTCTGATTCTTTACATTTTTTTTTCGATATTTCCTTTCTTAAAGTCTTATCAAATCTATATGATAGAAGCTTTTCTATTAGGAATGGTTTTAGGTATAATTCCTATCATAGTTGTTAAGGCGTTGCCTAGGCGATAAGGCGCTATCCCATGGACGCCTTGCCTGCCCGCCTCGCCCAGAAAACCTCAAGGCGTTAAGGCACTCGCCTAGGTGTCGCCTTACGGTCGCCTTACCGTTGCTTCATGCCTAGATGCCCAGTTTTGAAATTTGAAAGCCCAATTTTTAAAAGTTTTGAATTAACGTCGCTTTATCCCTTGGGTCCAAATGATCATGACTCATGAGTATCTTGAAGATGACTATGATGTGTCCATTCTCAATCTATGGAGGTAGATAATGATAACCATATGAATGACATGTTCAACGATAACTTTTAAGAGCATGAACAATGACAAGGTGAAAATAGAATGCCACACGGTGACATGGAACATTTTAACCAATCAAAAATAGTCCAGTCAGCGTGTGGCAAGTGAATGGAGTGGCAAGTTCTACAATGGCAAGTCATTATTTTTTATCATTTTTTTACATTTTTTATGTTTTTTAAACATAAAAAATATTTTTATTATTTATTTTATTAAAAAAAATTATTATACTTTCTTGTACATTTTTTTCATAAAAAATTTTAAAAAAAATTATTTAAAAAAAAGAAAAAAAGAAGGATGGAGTGCCACACTCATGCCTCACAAAGCAAGGCATTTTAGCCTTGCCATGCCATGATATGAGTGGAAGAAGCTGATGTGGCAGTGTATGGCATCCCTCTTCCTTGCCACTGCACATGCTCTAAACTTGCATGTTTGGGTGATAAAACCAGTTGGATGGAAATGATTTTTTATTTGAATTATGTTGTTACTTGTGGTTTTCTAAATACTTCTGAACACTTCTTTCTTTATCTCAGATTATGTGTAGACTCTAAATACATATGTTGTGTCATATATCTATTTGTAGTTATATGTGTGTGTCTATATATATGTGTGTGTGTGTATGTGTCTTGGTCACCTAATTGTCGCCTAGGTGATATCAAGGTACATCGGCGCCTCTTAACAACCTTGTTTCCTATTACCTTGAGTAGCTTTTTCGTAACTGCATAATTGCAGGACACGCAAGGTGATTGGTTGGACTTTTGATGAATTTAGAGCTCCGTTTTTATTTTCCTTAAGAACTTTAGATGCTCGTTGAAATTCATGATATTTTATCATACTCCTGTCTCATTAAAGGTGCCACATTTCCCTTTTGTTTGTCACAGAATTGAGTGATTCACCTGATTGCTCTCTCCTCTACCCCTAATTCAACCAACACTTTCACTAATATTTATAACCGCACTCGATCAATTGTGGAACACTATATAATATTCACAGTTTCTAATCAATATTCACAGTATCAGTTAATATTTTCCCAAAATTTAAGCGCTGATATTTTTCCTCCATTGGTTTCAGACTGCTTGTTCTACGTCTCCATACACGTTGGGTGGTTGCGGCTGGTGGCTTCCTAACCCATTCAGTGCCTTTATATGCAACTGGTAAGTAGTTAATCTCTGTTTATTATATGGATGGGTTGGAGCAAGAAGTTTGACCCCTTTTCACTTTTCTCAGGGGTTGAAGTTTCACCACTGTGTTCATATGCTGGAGAAAATTTGGAAGCCCTTTGCTGCGGCAGAACATTCCACGCTCCTTGTGAAATCTCGTTTTAAATTTTTGTTTAACGACACATTTTGAACCAATCCATCAGGTTTTGAAGACATTCTTTCCCTTTGCTCTTCATTTTCATTCAGTTCGTTTTGGGTTGTATTTGGTGTAAATGTGAATACATTTGGTTCAAGTTGTTCCAAATTTATATACTAGAGTTGGCAAACCACACAACCGGATATACCATACTCTAGGTATATCCGACTGACACTCATTTAAGAGTAACACAATGTTCATTTTGTATTTTTTTACTATATTTTAGATCTACATCAGTCAAATGTTCATTTGCGAGAAATATAGTACTCATTTTCACACATTGGAAAATATATGTATACGCACTTAAAAGATACATGATGTTCATTACAATTATACAAGATTTAAATTTACTAAACTTAACACTCATTTCAATACTCACTCACTGACTAAGGTTTTCATGGGTCACGGGTTTCATGGCACGATCCATTGACGACTTCTTTGATACAGACCTATCCAAAGATAGGTACATCTGGTTGTACCTAATAACTTGTGCTGCTCCACTATTTTTCTCCATTTTCTTTCTTCTTTCTACTATTTTTCTATTCTCCCTTTTTTGCATATTATTATATTCAATAATGTTTGTACTACGGAGTATTTCTTTTTCTTAATTTCACATACAACTTGAGTTTATTAATCTAAATGTTCCTACTCCATGTCTCACGGTTGGACGAAAGATCGAGTTAGAGATTGTAGGATTACCTCCGTAAACTTGAAATTGAAGGAATGTTTGGTTCTTAGTGTTGAATTATAAAATCGTCTTAATATATCATACTCCTATTGTCCTATTGAAACACTTTGGAGACCTCAGCAATCAGCAATGTGCGTTACTGCTTTATAAGAATATGAAAAAGAAATTGGAATACTCTCTTGGTCTTCAAATTAAAATTTACAGTTATTAAATCAAATCACATCTGGTTTATTTACACATTTACACTTATTACTTCCTCTCTCCATATTTAAGTTGTCAGTTTATTATTTACAAGGTTAAATTCAAACCACATTTTTTACCCGTTTTCGTTAATAATATTGTTTTGTTAGAATTTTTGAGGTAGTGTTTTTATGAAAAATTTTAATTTCTTAATTCCATACTAATTTTCAAATAAGTTGAATTGAAAATAACTTCAGTCAAACCTTGTAAATAATAACATGCGATTTAAATTGGGATGGAGAATAGTATTTATGGAAAAGGACCAAACTAGGAGTAAAACGTGTGTTATATCCTAAAGTAAGAGTTCAAACTTAAACTCCTTAAAGTAGGAGTAATTAAATCAATTAATCTAAATAATCTTCTAATGCACTCCCTTCTCGCTGATTCCTTTCTCAATTTTTGGCATTATTATTGTGTTTAAGTTGTCAAAGAGAAAAATAGTAGTGACCAAAGATTTTTTATACTTGTCAACAAACATTTCAGCATAAAAATGTGCAATGCCCAATTGATCGGATAAAAGTAGCATCTTAAAACCCATAAACATTACCATTAAAAAAAGAAACCATAGAGGGGGATGCACACTAATTGTATATTCATTTCAGCTCCTCAGATTTATTCTGAACAAAAAAATATTTAAATGGCATTGTACATTTTGTCCTTAAAGGTGCAAGTTCTAAAATAGTTAAACACGAGACAGAAGTAGGATTTACACTCTTGTTTGCACAATTATGTCATGTCGTTGCTCAATTGTGTCATGCCATTCAACTGTCAAAATATCCATCCATGGCCGCTCAAATGTGTCAGGCCATTGTCGGCACCCCACCGTTGCAGATGATGCCACCGCCCGAGCTATGTGATGTCATAGGTTGCCTCTGCCATCTCCATTTCATAGGTTACACAATGCTCCGGCTAAACTAGGAGTAAAATAGGACCGGTTGTGTTAAGGACCAAACTAGACCTACTGACAAATGGAGGTGCAGACAATGCTCCGGCTAAACTAGGAGGTGATATACATTATTGTTTTTTTGTAGAAAGAATGTAATCTTTTTACTATAGAAGAATTGATCATTTTGTCTTCACAGGGTTAAAAAGCCATAGTAATATGATCAAGATATTAAAAATTACAAAATAAATAATTGAATTTATCAATGATCAGTTATTGTCAACGATTTTCTTATTTTTTTTGAAGGCTTCGATTTTCTTATTTTACTTCTTCAAAGTTTTTAAATTGTTTTTTTGTTTCATGAAGCTAACTATTCTAGAATAAAATTTGTAATTATATTATATGCTGACAAATTAATTAAAAATCATATGAATTATCAGTTTATAGAAGATCGCACATAGCACATGGAGCAACAAAGACAATTGAGCAGCGAAGATTGCGAGGAGCGATGGTGGCGAAAACCCTAGGTGGCTAAAACAATGGAGAAGGGAAGATCTACGGGAGCAAGTGATGATGGTGAAAACGGTGGCGTTACTGATTGGGAAGTTCCCAATGTCGAGACCCTAAGTCCGACTATGAATATTTCAGCAAAGAAGAAGAGTTGGAGATTTAAGAGATTTAAGTGAAATGAATGATGTGTTAGTTGATAATACATACTCTCTCCGTTTCTCAAAACCCTTCATCTTTCATTTTTTTTGTTTTTCTTAAAACACTTCCTTTTTCTATTAAAAAACCACTTTTACCCCTATTTTTTCATACCCTACCTATCACATCATACTTTTTCACTAATAACTAAACCATCACATTTTACTTTTACCAATCACATTAGGCGGCAAAATTGGAAAGTCAACTAAAATTACACTTTCCTTATTTTGTCTCAAAGTCAAAACAAGAACTGTTTTAGGAAACGTAGGGAGTATTATTTTATTTGAGAATGATCACTACTTTATTTTAGAATGAATAATACGTAGTATATTATTCGTAGATAAATATTATAATTGTATTAAATAATTATATGAAAATAAATGCTAAATTATTTTAGAATGAATTATTTTATACTACATAACAAGTTTTTCATGAACACTTGTTCCGCCGCCATCAGCAGCTAATGAATATCGGCATGGAAACCCGATCCGGTCATTGTGTGATTCCATCAATCGAGCGGGCGGGGGTTTTCACTCTGTAAGAGTCTGTAAGAGGTTAAGCAATGGCAGGAGATGGAATCTTAGGAGTGAAAGGCGTCCAGGGAAAGAGATCAGAGCGAAGCATTGACGCAGAGAGGAAAAAGCGCGTCCAAAGGAAAGAGAAATGGCTTGTGGCGATGGGAGTGGTTTTACACGCAATTTACATGCTCAGCATCTTCGACATTTACTTCAAAACTCCTATCGTCCACGGCATGGATCCCGTCGCTCCTCGCTACTCTGCACCGGCAAAGCGTCTTGTTCTTTTAATTGGTACAACTGTGATGCTTTGACGCAATGCTACGCAGACTCTTGGATTTAAGATAATTTTGGCTTGTATTATTGACTCGGGATGTCAAGATTATTGCCTTAATAGGTAATGTGTTGCTAACTGTGGAGAATGTTATTTGCAGCTGATGGGTTACGGGCAGATAAATTTTTTGAGCCTGATTCAGATGGGAAGTATAGAGCGCCATTCTTGAGGAGTGTGATTAAAGAGCATGGGCGGTGGGGAGTATCCCATGCTCGGCCTCCAACAGAATCTAGGCCTGGGCATGTTGCTATCATTGCTGGATTCTATGAGGATCCAAGTGCTGTCACAAAAGGTGCACACTCATTTGTACACTGAGTGTTGTGGGGGGAACTGTAATGACATTATGTATCATTCCAGGTTGGAAGGCAAATCCTGTAGAGTTTGATTCAGTTTTTAATAGAAGCCGGCACACATTTGCCTTTGGCAGTCCCGACATTGTTCCCATTTTCTGTGGTGCCTTGCCACATACCACTTGGAATTGTTACCCCCATGAGTATGAAGATTTTGCTACTGGTTCGTCATAATGTTTGACTTCTTACTTAAGTTTGATGAAAACTCCCTGCATGGACTTCTTTTTTGTTCCAGCCGAAATAAAATTTTCTTGGCATTTTCGTGAAATAATGGTGATTGTGGAAAAATACATATTCTTGTGCTCTCAAACCATTAACCTTTAATTGATCCTTAATGATCAATTGGTGGTAACCTGCAGATGCTTCTTTTTTGGATGAATGGTCATTTGATCAATTTCAAAGCCTATTGAATAGGTCCAATGAAGATGCAGAATTAAAGAAGCTTCTTCAACAAGATAAGCTTGTTATATTCCTACACCTGCTTGGTTGTGATTCCAATGGTCATGCACATCGACCATATTCATCCATATATCTCAATAATGTTAAAGTTGTTGACAGTATTGCTGAAAGAGTGTACAATCTTGTTCAAAGTTACTTCAAGGACAACTCAACAGCATATATATTTACCGCTGATCATGGGATGAGTGATAAAGGTTGTGTTTTGAGTTCCCATCAATGGTTTATGAGTAATTGGTGTTATTTTTTGTGAAGAAAGAAAAGAGAGAATTAGTGATCGTATTTCTTGATCTCAACTAATCAGTACAAAGGCCCTATATAATAGCGAAATAAATACAATGACATAAGTGAGGCATTAAGCATAAATGGCATAAGCAATGAAGTAATCTTAATGACTTAAGCAACGAACTAATCTATTCTAGATACCTACTTTTCTTGCTAGTTTTGTACTGTACACACTCACGCAAGCTGGAGCATACAAATCATATGCACCATTCTTGTTACAAATATATCTTATTTTAGGACATCACCTCCGATGTAGCTAAAGGTTTGTCTTTGGAATAAAGCAAAATGGCTCTTTAAACTGTATGTGCTTCTTTTATAGTGAAGTAGCGGTTAGTCAATGCAACTTTGGATGCACATCATGGGTCATTTGAAACAGTCACTCTATGTTTTAAACACAGGGGTCTGGATACATCCAACCCCCCTATACCGCAATGGGCTAGAGCCTTTGAGGCTTTGGGGTAATGTTGTTGTTGTGAGAGATTTTGTCAATATTCAACAACTTTGTCATCTGTGTTGATGTAACTAGTCATAATGTGCCTAGATGTGATCTTTTCTTAATAAAGTTGTTATATCTCAATGTGCTCAATCCTCTCATGGATTACAAGGTTGGATGTGATATGCATTGCAACTTGAATTTCATACATTAAATGTACTGGGTCTTTGCTTCCATATATTAACTCTCAAAGATGTTTTAGGCGTAACATCTCTCACCTTGCAAGAGCCATTACACTATATTCTGCATTAACACTTGATCTTGCAACCACATTTTGTCCTTTTCTTTTCAAGGGATTAAGCGTCCACCAATCACAATACAACGTCCAAAAGTGGATCGTCTATCCATTCAGTAGTCAGCCCTGTCGACATTCCAGAATCCAACAAATTTTTTATGACCTTTGTCTTCATAGAGTAGTCCTTGTCTTGTTGTTTTCTTGATGTGCTTTAAAATTCGTATAACAACATCTCAATGACCACCACATGGTTCATCAAGAAAATGTTTGATTCACATTTCTAGTGGTTTGCATTTTCCTCATCATGAAGTAGCTCCCTACATCTTTGAATTAGTTACAACAAAACATACATGCTTCTTGAACGATACTAAAAACATGTTTCCTTTAAAGAGAAAAAAGTCATTGTGAGATTTGGAAATCTCAATACTAAGAAAGTACCACATCTTTCCCAAATCCTTCAGAATTTTCTTAACAGTCACTTTTTGAGCTAAGCAATGCGCTCCATGTCATAATGATAATATCATCCACATATACTACTAGATAGATGCACTTGTTTTATGATAGAAAACAGAATCATTTACTACTCCTAGTCATGCTAAAGGCACAAACAACTATACTAAGATGCCCAAATCATATACTCAAGTACTCAACCATGTAAGAAGTGGCATAACCGACACACTGGATCAAACTCCTCTGGATCAACAAAACCTGGTGTGTGGCTCATATAAACCTCATTCTGTAGATCACCATAGAATAAAGCCTATCCAATTGGAACAATGATCTATGACTCTTGACAACTGTGGATAAAATCAACCTAAGAGATGCTTTATTTAGTAGTGGTGAAAAAGTGATTGCATAACCAAGACCATGGGTATACCCTTTCCATCGACATGCTTTAAGATGACCATTTTGCCATTAGGATCAACCTTCACAGTATATATCCACGTCCAGCTAAGAACAAACTTACCGAGAGGATTATGAAGCAATTCCCATGTGACACTACAACGAAGAGCCTCCATCGCTGCTAACGTAGACTAGCATCATTCCAGAAGGAAAATTCCCTCATGGGTTGTAATAGGTATATGTACTTTAGAAAGGTGTGAGATAAATGTATAGTAAATAGTTGAAATGGGTTATGACTTAGCAAATTATGAATGGGAAGAGAATTAAGTGCAGAATGCACACCTTTCTGCAGGAATAGGTAAACCATGAGGAGTAGCCTCATGTTTTACGCTAGCTAATTACTGTTATGCTGGATCCATAGTTGGAGAATAGCTAATAACTCATTTTGTTGAAGTGTTTACAAAAGTGGTAGATCAAACCACCGGCAGGCATGAAGTGATTATATGAGTCTGTAAAAAATTATTTGGCATTATAACTGCTTAGAATTTGATGGAAAGTCCAATCCATGTTTCGATACTGTTGCAAAAGTTTTTTTAAAATGTGAAACAATTTAAATCTTTATTTCATTTAAAACAACCTAGTGTGTCTTGAAAATTCTTTGACACAAAAGCCAAAATGCGAAAAACCAAGTGTAGACTTGTTGTGATACAGGCCCCAAACATTTGTGTCAAGATGACATAGCTCACAAATCACAATCAAGGGGCAAAACATTTGATTATGTCTGAGGTGTAGAGTGACTCAAATGGCACTGGTGGTTCTGTCAAGTAATAGCTGACTTTGAAGATACACGAGCAACTGGATCAAGAGGCCGAAAACGATAAAGGCCCTTAGATTCACATCCAGTGCTAATTGTTTTCCTCTAAGACGGTCCATCATCAGCATACAGCAACCCAGTTAAATCCCACAAAAGTAGGGTGTGAGGAGGGTGTGTGTACGCAGACCTTATTCCTACTCAAAGGTAGCCCTGGCTACTATGGAGGGATGCTCACAGAAGCCGACATCACGAGCTAATGCTGTCGGAATTTTGGCGGTGGGAATCGGCGGTGGGCATTGGTTAGTCGGCCTTCAGATGAAGATCAGCTAAGGCTAAGACTGTAATAAATTGTTGTGGTTCATCTTGTGCTTCTGTTGTATTAGGCATTATTTGAATAGCACTCAATTCAAACAATAAGGCTTAAACACCTTCAAGAAGGTTTTGGATACAACTTTGAATGCATTGGTATCGGCACCTTTAGTTTCTTCCCAGATTTGTTTCGATGTCTAGTACGACTGATATGCAGGAAGAAGTTTCTAGCCATGGATTGCCACATGACACTACATAGTGCATCCATGTTTTTCCCATTCAGCTTTCTTGGTTAAAATACTTGTGGAATTTCAGTTTGTTACTGTATATACCACAAGAATATGCTTGTTGGAAATTTCACTGCTCATGCCAGAATAATACTATTCTAACTGGGAAATACAACTGTTCACGAAAGATAAGATAGAATTGTGTAATCTTATTGCTTGAACTCAACAAATTAGCCTACTTCTCTTAACCACGTTTACACTTTCTGCACATTTGATATCCATGGTACAGTCATATAATTGTTGAAAAATATATTTTTCAATTTCTAGAGAGGATTTTTTTAGTGTTGTATATGCTCATTGAGATGCCGTAATTGAGTCACAATATAAGGGAGCTTTGATGTCAGCAACAATTTTGTAAGTTCAGCATGTAATATTAAGTCTTTGCAGGGAGCCATGGAGATGGACATCCTTCAAACACTGATACTCCACTTGTTGCTTGGGGTGCTGGAATTGGTCATCCCATGCTTGACTCCCACAATAGCCATCCCGATAAATCTATTCGATTTGTTGATGAGCATTTGCATGACACACCAACACCATTAGAATGGGGACTCAAGGACATATTGAGGACGGATGTTAATCAAGCTGACATTGCACCACTTATGGTTGTGTTTTTTGGAATTCTTTGGAGAAAATTTTAATGCTTCTGTACCCAAAATGTCTGTTTTTTTATATGACCCTTAACATTGTTTACAGTCAACTCTTCTAGGTTTGCCGTGTCCTGTTAACTCTGTAGGCAATTTGCCTCTTGATTACATCGAGCTTGATGAGGTCAGTTTTTTTCATATGAGCTGCCGATCCCATTTCCCATCTGCACTAGCTGAGTGTGTTTTTATTCTCATGGAATGTTGTATTTTAATTTTCTTCTTTTTAGGGGGGTAAAGTTGAAGCAGTGTTATCCAATACAAAACAAATTCTCAACCAGTTCCTGTGCAAGTCTGGTATCCTTCATGATGACCTTGTACATAAATGAATTAGTTCATTCAGATTCCTGTTTTTAACTTGGTCATTAATTACTTTTCTCACGTGGATTATATGACCAAACCAGTTATTTATCTGTGTACTATGTACCAAGATCTAGCTTGTTCTCATATACTTATATTTCATTCAAACCTTGTGCATTTCTTTTATAAATCCCTGTTGTTGTACTTTAGCCCAAAAAAGAACTATATCATGAATTTACTCTATTTGAAAGTTTTCCTTTACAAGTAACTAGAATTAAAACGCACGCATTCTCTTCGCTTCAAGCCTTTTAAACCTCTCTCCAATCATTCGCTAGTACTTGATGAGATTGAACATTTGATATCTATCAAAGATTATAAAGCTGCAATGAAGCTATTGGAAGATCTTAGGAGCTTGGCTCTTAGTGGACTGAACTACTTTCAGACTTATGATTGGTTGATGCTGCTGACTGTAATTACTGTTGGTTATATCGGTTGGATGGTCTACATTTTACTCCATGTTTTGGAGTGTTATACCTCCTTACCTGAAAAGCTTTCCAGGACAGTACACTTGTTTCACCTTAGGAAGAATAGCCCAAAGGTAAATCATTTTGAACTCTTTCTATATTTATTTCCTTGTTGCTTTGGGGAGTTGGTTGGCAAAGTAAAGAACTGACCAAGACTGTCATCTTTTTCTTCTTCTTGATGTTGGGCAACTTCATGTGGGGTGGTTGGAGCATAGAGATGGGAGAATAGTGGAGTCCGCTAATAAATAGGGAAGAAGTATGCAGACATTCTCTATTAAATTATCAACTTCTATCTCGTACAGCTGCTGGGTAGCTTTCTATGTGCATCTCATTCTGGTGTGCTGTCTGAATAATTACTTTAGCACATCTTACAATTTCCACGTTGCTGGCAATGTAGTCTACATTATAATCTCAAAAATGGGTATGCGCTAGGAACTGCTTGTATTGTGTTTTAGGTGACAGCTACACTAGTGGGCACCAAAAAACATATACATACTGGTTGCCTGTAGGATATATATGGTAGCAGTGCCCAATGTTAGAATTAGAGGATGTGCTTGTTTAGGTATTGCTTGCATCACAATATTAGATACTATTAAAATGCTCAGTTTCCCGAATTTCATCGTGCAGTTTTCATATTGGCTGATTATTTTTACTGTTGCAATTAAATAACATTTTTGCAGGCGAATCTTTGTGGAGGGCTGCTAATGGGAGCTTTTTGTGTTATTCTGCTCTATGAGCACTCACCCCCCCTGTATCATGCGTATATTGCAATGACATTATTTCTTTGGACACAAATATTAAGCGAGTACCAGTTTCTTCTAGCACTCTGGCGGTACCTGTGTAACAGGAAATTTAGTTACTTTTTGAAGCTTACTGCAATATTTATTTTTGCTATCACCATTCTTGAACTCCTGGTATGGCTTCCCATGCACCTTCAAGTCATTGTTGTTTAGCTGTGACAAATATGTTGTTGATATGCCCAAACTGCTTTTCAATCACTTAAATGGTACCGACGCAGGTGATAAGCTTTACTGAGAGAAAAATCTATACATGGTGTTTTGTAACTTTTGGGGTTACATCTTCTATATATTTATTCAAGTTAATGCCACTGAGATCTGGAGTGCCCATCTTTTTGTGTGCTGCATGCTGGTTTCTTTCCATATTTACTCTCATGCCACCTGAAATTCCTGAAAATACTGTACTGGTGTAAGTCATTCCATAGAATTCCTTTCCCTTGTGGGATTTTTCTTATGTACGTTCCCTTTGTTAAAATCATGTTGATTTGGCTTGTTTTGGTAGTATTTTAAAGATGGTGTTTTCTTTCTTTTGTTTGTAATTATTTTCCATAAAAGTGACATATTCTTGGTAGAAATGCTTACTGATAAACTGCATCACAATTTACAAATTTAGAATGTCAAAAACATAAATAACTAGCTTATTGTAAAATGTTATGACATGATTTCTGTAATAGTTTGGACTTCTGTGTATGTCCTGATTGTGATCTTAATTATCTTAAATATTCTTGTTTTTATAGAATCACTGGTGGACTAATGATTATTTTGATTGGTGGAGCTGCTCGATATGTAGAAGTGCACACTAAAGATAATGAATATTGGTTTGGTCTCATTCCTCTCGATTTAAGGATGTTCCGGATTCCTTTGCTCTTTCACTTACAGGTTCATGAAATAATTAGTTAGATTTTACCCACTATTTTTGGCCTTTTTTTACCTCTTTTGTCTGTCCCACTATTTTGCTCCATACCATAAATAGTAATGTATGTGGCTCACATTCATTCTTACTTTTTCTTATTTTTGACATGGACATCAACCACACAATTCCACTTCTCTTAATTTTTGTGCCACTGCCCCATGTCCCAAAAATAGTGGGATGGAGGGAGTACACGAAAACAAAACTCTACTGTAATAAAGAAAAGAAAACAGAACTCTAAATATTCTGCCTATGGACATAATTTGTCTTCTTTGTTTCTTCAAATAGATCCTTTTGGTTGGTTTATCATCCTTTATGGTCTGGTTGTCAACGTCCCATAGAATGGAAAGGCAAGAGTTGCACGGACTTCACCAGTTGATTAATTGGTCCATTGCTGGTATCCCTTTGTTTTGTACTTTTGTCAAGTACATAAAATCTTGTTCAAGCATTGATCAGAACTACTCTCCTCTTTTAAACTTTTGATTTTATTTTAAATGGGTAGTTAGTGAAGTCATTTCGCTTGCATTCTGGTGAACTTTGGAATCTAATGCCTTTTATTACCATTTTCTATTTGTTCATTGTAGGTTTTGCAATGGTCCTTCCTCTATTTTCAGCACCTGCCCTCTTGCCTCGGCTTACTTCCATATTCCTTGGTTTTGCGCCTCCATTCTTGCTATTGTCAATTGGGTACCACTCAAACTTTTGTTTAGTTCATGGCTTGTGAAAGTGCTTATGTGAATGCTTTCTTGGACCGCAAATATAAGTTCCGCCAAGCATATAAGAGTGCAGAGCAAGTTTCGACATTCTTTCCTTAATTTAGTTCCATAATAAGTTTAGTTCATCCTTAATTTAGTGTTTAATTACTTGAAGGAAATATATACTCCCTCCGTCCCCAAAAGAAGTTCATACTTCCCTCTTTTCCTCCATTCCAAAATAAATTTCGCTATTCTTTCATTTTCCATTTAAGAAAATGAATATGTGGCTCAGGACATTTCTCTCTTTTAAACAAATTCCATTCACATATTTTTCAATTTTCAACACGTTTCTTAAGAACCATAGTCCAACTATCTATTTCCTTTGAGACATAGGGAGTATTAGCTTTACATCTCTTTTTCCTTTTATGATTAGGAGTAGGGGGTGGGCATGGTCGGTTAACTGACATTTTGCTTAACCAAGGTTCGGTTAGTAGATTTTAATACCATTAACTCTACCAAAATTTTGGTTAGCTCAAATTTTGCTACATTTATTTTTTTAATAAAAAAACCATGCAAAATATAAAAACAAAATACTATTGTTATGCATTTCTATCAATTCCAATTTCTAAAAATACTAAAAATAATACACAACTGAGAACATATCCAAATGAATCATAACATAAGTTAAGTTAAATTTAAAAGTTACCAGGGCTAAGAGAATTTAGTTTTAGAACATTGATCTAAAGACTTGGAAGAGCAAGGAGACGAGAAAAGTACCAGCTAGCTAAGGTATGTGAGGGGAAGGCCCGAGATCTAGAACTTATGAGATGTGTGAAAGACAGAGATGTCTAAGTTTTATTTGATGTGGTGAAGGTGGGAAGCTGGTGGTGGGCCTACTTTAATGGGCTTATGAATGCTAGAGGGAATGAGAGCTTGGTACTAGGTGAGCTAGGACAGTTCGAGAGGCATCACGATTCTGGGTACTGTCAGGGTGCATTAGGCTAGAAGTGGTGAGGGGCATTCACAGGATGAAAGGAGGAGAGCCATGAGGTCGAATGAGATTCTGGTGGAGTACTCGAAGATTGTGGGAAACATGGGATTGGCTTACCAAGTTCTTTAATATTATTTTTTAGGATGACTAAGATGTCTAATGAGTGGAGTGTTGTGATTCCATTGTACAGGGGCAAAAGTGATACCTATAGTTCTTATAATAATAAAGGCATCAAATACGTAAGCACACCTTGAAGGTTTGGGAATATATAATTAAAGCTGGGTTGAGGAAGGGGGTGTGCATTTTCGAGAATCAATTTGTTTTAATGCCTTGTGAGTTTACCACAGAGGCTATTCATATCTTAAGGAAGATGATGGAGGTGTATAGGGTCAAGCAGAGAGCCTACATATGGTGTTTGTGTACTTAGAGAAAGCATATGAATGCATGATAGGGTTCCAAGAGAGATCTTGTGGAGGTGCCTAGTGTATAGAGGGGTAGCGGTTGCTTATATCTGTGCAATCAAAGACACAAATCGAGGGTGACTCTAACCCCATCCTGGTAGAGATGGGGTTACACTACGGGGATAACATTAGCCTTTTCCTATTTGCATTGGTGATGGGTACTATAACAAAACATTTACCGGGGAGGTACCTTGGTCCATGCTATTTGCTAACGAGATTGTATTGATTGACGAGACACGTGAGGGACTCAATGATAAGTTGGAAGTGTGGCGCCACTTCTTGGAATCCAAATGTTTGAAATTGAGTTGGACTAAGATGAAGTACGTGAAATATTGTTTTAATCGTCGTGTAATTGAGTTGGAAGTATAAATAAGGATTGATTCACACCTACTGCCTAAAAGAGGCACGCTTTAGTACCTTGGTTCAATCATTCAGGCACGAGGGCGTTGTTCACTGTATTCGAGCCTCATGGGAAAACTGGAAGCTAGCTTCAGGTATCCTTCTGACAAGAAGATATCGACAAACATGAAAGGGAAGTTTTATTGAATAATGGTCAAACCGGCTATGTTATATGGAGCAGAGTCCTGATTGGTGAAGTAAAAGCACGTTTTTCAATATCAAGTGGAAGAGATAAGGTGGATAAGATCCAAAATGAAGTTATTTGGAGAAGGGTGGGAGTGGTACATGTCGAGGATAAGTTACGAGAAGATAGGCTGAGGTCAGTGAGGTGGTTTGGCCATGTAAAGAGAAGTGTAGAGGCACTGGTGAGGAGATGCAAGAGGCTTGCCATAGTTGGTGTGAGAACTGGTAGGCTTACGGAGAGTTAGAAGGAGGTGATTAGATTGGACATACGACTTCAAAATCTCGTTGAGGATATGACCTTAGATAGGATATTCTAGAGATCTAGGACTAGAGTAGTTGAGTAGACCTTTGGCCTTAATTTGTAGTTTTTGTTGGTGAACTTTTACCTTACTTTCTACCTTGTGCATGTATGCTTTTTGTGCTTTGGGTCTTGTTGGTAGTGTCGGTATGTGTGCTTCTTGTCTATGTGCTCTTACTTTGTTCTACAGTATTTTACTTTACTATTGTGGGATTTTACTGGGTTTGTTGTTATTGTGTTTAACATCATATATACAACACCTATTTATAAGAAATGCTAATCCCTAAGTCAATACAATTGCACCATAGTTGTTGCTCATATTACATCATTAATGTGATGCAATACACTTTATAACACTAAATGACACATGACTCAATTTTACAGTACATAATTTCACAAATATTTACTTCCTAGTTTCCTATTCCTTGCAGATATGAAGCTCTTTTTTATGGTGCTCTTGCTCTTGCACTTATGGGCTGGATATTATTTGAGAATGCTAATCTTTACATACTCAAGGGGAAACTGTCACCAAATGCATTTGAAGTAACGGAGGATAGCATGTATCTTCCAGAGTATGATAGATATCTGGAGTTATCCGATATAAGAATCCCACTAGTCTTTGTAAGTTATGGTGATGTTTTATTTTTCAACTTCATTAAACTTGGAGTTGGAAGTATAAATGTGATATTGTGAATCTGTGATAGTGACTCTATGGGGGGAAAAGTACAGCAAGGTCACTAATATAATGATCTCAGGAATTCTCTCCTGGTTCATGCAGCTGACACAAATTGTTTGGTGTAAAAGCATGTTTTTGTTTGATTTGAAGACTGATCTCTCTCTCTCTCTCATTTTTTGATAATTTATTTATTTGTTTTACTAAATTTTACTTTCTAATCTTCTTTTGGAAATTCTTTTAATAAGAGAACATTAAACTTGATGAAAATTAGCTTATAGGACTTTTTTGGGGGACAGTTTTCACGCATACCTCTTTTTTTTGAGTAAATTCTATAAATGGTCCTTTATAATAGGGGGGTTCCCTATTTAGTCTTCTATTATCAAATATTACCTAAGTGGTCCTTCTTTTATGGGTACCTTTCCACAAATAGTCCTTTTTTTTATCTTCTATCATGTTGGTGTTAATTTGAGGACTAAAAGTGTAATTTCACAATGATAATATATCTTTTTTGTCATACATAATTCAAAAGACTGTTCCGTTTGCGTTGTTTGTGAATTACAGTTGCTTTTTACGACAACTATAGTCTACAAATGTGATCTTTCGTCAAAATCCTAGCCCACAATCATAGTCATTATTTTGTGTTATCCGCTTAACCAATATCAGAACACGTCACTAGACATAATGTTGACGTCAAATTATATTTTTAGCCTTTAAATTAACACCAACACGGCAGAAGATCAAAAAAAGGACCATTTGTGAAAAGGTACCCTTAAAAAAAAGACTACGGGGGTAATATTTGATAATAGAAGACTAAATATGGAAACCCCCTGTTATAAAGGACCAATTATGGAATTTACTCTCTTTTTTATGACAGCAAGTATACTATTGTTTCTCCCAAAATTAACTGATCTTATTTTCTTTAATTTAGTTCTAGGTTTGTTTCTTTGGGGACGGTTCCCATGACATTGCCGGGCAATGTCATGGGAATGACCCGGGGGCCCTCCGGTGTCCCTTTCTTTTATTCACATATATCTTTTTTCTCTTAACTCATTTCTAATTCTAAACATGTACTTTTACAATTGCTTCTTTTAGATGGCCTTTTTCAATGTTGCATTTTTTGGAACGGGTAACTTTGCAAGCATTGCCAGTTTTGAGATATCTTCTATCTATCGGTTCATCACAATTTTCAGTGTAAGTTCATAAGATGACTCTCTCTCTCTCTCTTTTCTGTCGTCTGCTATAATAATTGTTTGGTAATTTTGTCTTCTTTCTGCAGCCGTTTTTGATGGCCGCACTCCTAATTTTCAAATTGCTCATACCCTTCATACTTGTGATGTAAGTGTAATAAGACATGCAAATTATTAATTGCTTGTTTCTGTGACACCATACTTGTTCAACCCTTTGGTTCTCATGACATTGGAGATCAATGTCATGGGATAACGCTCCGGTGCCCCATTCGTAAATTTGATAGTTCCTACCCTTCCTAACGTCCAGTAAACCCCCCCACCCCGCCCCAAGCCGAACACACCCCAACCCCCTTCTATTGCACCCTCCAAGTTTATTTTGATTTTGGAATCATGGGAGGGTGTGTTCGGGTCGGGGAGGAGTGGGGGGGGGGGGGTTTACCGGGGGGTTAGGAGAGGTAGGAACCGTCAATTTTACGAACGGGACACCGAAGCACCCCCATGTGATCAATGTCATGAGAACCGGCCCCCTTGTTCAATCCACACATTGTAGAATTGCACGGGGTTCTGTTTTCAAATTTCTTAAAGAGCCACTTTTACTTGATCTTAATTTTTGAACATGTGTGCAGATGTGCATTTAGTGCAATAACTAAGTTGATCCGTGTTCCACTAGTGGGATGCTATTTTCTCGTTATTTTGTGCTCCGATGTAATGACGATCCATTTCTTCTTCTTGGTATGCATTTTTCTTTTTGCCAATCATATTCACACCCAACCTTCTCATTTATATTTGATGATTATACATTGTAGTGATGCCTCTGGACATGTTGAGTTTACACAATCAGTCTTGCAATAGAAAATGATTATATCACTGTTTCAGCTCATGAACCCATTGATGTCCCGTGATACTTTCAATCCAAGTGGAAATTACTTATGATGATCGACGGTTTTGAAATGCCATGCCGTGAACCCTAACACTACATTTGGTTCAACGAATTAGAAAGGGAAAATGTATCAAGTAGAGGGGAAATCAAATTCTTCCTGTTTTGGTTAAGAAAATGAGAGAACCATTTTCTTTTCTTTTCTTTCCGAATTCCTTGAACCAAATATAGTGTGACATACATGGGATTAGAGTGGTGGCGATCACTAGCAATGTTAATGTGTTTGACAAATTTTAAAGTGGTGGTAAATCTGCCTTGTTATTTTGTACTCCATGTAGTTATATGTTTCTTATCACTGGCAAATAAATAACCATCGCTTTGGATTACTTTATGCTGTGGCGCTTTGTGGGCATTTTGATGTTGACTTGTAGTTGGCGTTAATAACAGGTACGAAATACAGGAAGCTGGATGGAAATTGGCAACAGCATTAGTCATTTTGGAATTATGAGTGCTCAGGTTGTGTTTGTGTTGTTGCTCTTTGTTCTCACAAGCATATATACGAAAGACATCCGGACCAAACCAGCTCGTAGTGTTTTGCAGAAAGAAATGTGATTCAAATACATATCTTATCATTCTCGTTTTTTTTAGAATTATTGACTCTCTTACAATGTACGGAGTAGTATCTATTCATACGTTTTCTCAACCTACTAAAACACAAAGAATCAATGCTGTTGAGTTCCAATTTGTGACCTTCCAACATGTTCTTCTAACTATCTAGGATTTGTGCAGTGCTGAAAATTTTTAAAAAGTGAAAATGTGCTATTGACATTGATGTTAAAAATTTAAGATTTGTGAAACATACAAATATGAGCAAGTATGGTACAAGTAAAACTGATGGGACAGACAAAAGTAAAAAATGTAAAAAATAGTTTAATGGAGGAGACAAGCTTTGTTTGTTTTAACGATAAATTTCGTCTTTGAAGTGAAGAAAAGGTGCACAACAAGTTTTATACGTTAAATAATACTTTTCTGTTCCATAAAATTTTTCAAAATAAAAAAACGATGCACCTTAAAATTTTAAAAATGTATAATTTTGGTAGAATTTTCTAATTATGATAATTTATCTTACACATCATATCTTACCCTATTATAAACTAAAAATAAAATTAGCAAATAATACTAAGGTTCTACCTTCTAAAGATGTGTTATTTTTTCAACTTTGAAGAGTTTTATGAGACGGAAAAAATATGAAGTACAGAGTATATATTCGTCTCAATTTAGGTTGCATATTTACTTTTCACATAGTTAAACTTTAATTCAAGTAGTTTGTTACTTTTGTTTTGTAGAATTTTTTTATCTATTTTTAATTTTTGAGTAAATTTTCAAAATGGTTTTTTGTAATAAGATATTTTCTCAATTCAGTCCTCAATTAGTCTAATTACCTACGTGGTCTTTTATAATTGAGATTTATTCTTTAGGTAGTCTTTCGTAAATAATGTTACTGAAATGATGATTAATTAAAAAGTATTTCTTTCATCAAAATTTAGTTGGTATTTCTTTCATCAAAATTTAGTTGGTATTTCTTTCATAAATACGATGTGTTACTCAATTGAGATTTGGTATTTCTTTCATCAAAATTTAAAGTATATTCTCAAAAGGTCATTTCTATATAGTTATAATATAAAATTAAAACAATACATTGACTATACATTATTCATGGTTTATTAAAAACCTATAAGAAAATCTTTTGAAATTCGAATCAAATATATATCTTAAATTAGAAAAAACCAGTTTCGGAAAGCACTTCATTAGAATTCATCATTTTAAGAACTTATTTTAAATTTAGCTGATAAAAAAATACCAAAGTACCCTCCAATTAATCATCATTTGAATAGAATTATTTACGAAGGACTACCTAGTGGATAAATCTCAATTATAGAGGACCACGTAGGTAAATAAAATTTATTGATGACTGATATGGAAAAATACCTTATTAGAGAGGATCGTTTTGGGAATTTTAATTTTTTTTAATTAAACACTTATTATTGAATAAATTGAATGGAAAATAATTTAAGTCAAACATCTTAAACAATAAAGAATAACTTTAATTATATTGGGATGAATAAATATAAAATTAATATTTTAAATGATGCAAAAAAATCATAGCCTCAAATTCAAATAATAAAAAACTTGTTGCTAGACTTGGGTCCCATCCTTTTTTTTTAAAAAATACACTTCATGATACCTTAAAATATCCGAAAACTAACTCTGGAGGGACTTTTCGCCCATCCCTCCGTCATATCCACTTGTTCCATTATCTTTTTATCTTCTTCTCAAAAATTACTACTGCGTACTCTTATTTTTGTAGAAAGGACTTCTGGGTCCAATCTTTTTCTAAATTATACTCTAGGGTACCCTAGAATGTCTAAAAACTTGCTCTGGAGTCTGGAGGAATTTTCCAATTTTTCCCTCTTTTATTAATATTAATATTATATTATTATTATTATTCATATTACTATTACTACTACTACTACTATTATTATTATCATTATCATTATCATCATCATCATCATCATCATCATCATCATCATCATCATCATTATTATTATTATTATTATTATTATTACTATTATTATTATTATTATTATTATTATTATTATTGTTGTTGTTGTTGTTGTTGTTGTTGTTGTTGTTGTTGTTGTTGTTGTTTGGCACCGAGCCAAGATCAATAATGGCACCACTGTTGGCCATGTGTGCAGCAATTGTCCCGTGGCGGAGGCTATGTGGGCCAAGTCACAATCGAATGTCGTGGGCGCTTGTGTGCTGAATGCACTATAAGGCTAAGGTATGCGCCTCTTCTAACACCAATTGGTTTTAGAAGAGTTGGTAGCGCCTGAGGTCCTACAAGTGGTATCAGAGCCAAGGTCACGAGTTCGATTCTCAGCGGGAGCAATTGCTGAGGGGGAGATTGTTGGCCATGTGTGCAGCAATTGTCCCGTGGCGGAGGCTATGTGGGCCAAGTCACAATCGAATGTCGTGGGCGCTTGTGTGCTGAATGCACTATAAGGCTAAGGTATGCGCCTCTTCTAACACCAATTGGTTTTAGAAGAGTTGGTAGCGCATGAGGTCCTACAACCACGCCTATATGTCACGCTCAGCTCCCTTTGGCACCCTCGTCGTACCATTTCGGGCGAGGAAGTTAGAGGTCAAAGACGGCATAGGAAGGTGACGTATCATGAGTGTGGTCAACGAGATAAGCGTCATTAGGAAGTGATGTTAGAAAGTGATATGTCATAGAAACAAGACAAAAGTTATTAATGAGGCCCCTGGGCCTCGTTGACTTAGGATAGTTGGACTTCGGCCCATGGCCATGTTGTATAAATAGGACCCCTTGTCTAACAAAAGGGGGGGGGGATCAGATGCTAAGTTCACAAATACATACTAAAAGCTTTCTCTCTCTTCTATTTGTACTACCCCCATCCTTAGAATCCATCAAGTGGTGATCTTATTGAGAAGATCGAATACATCAAGATTTTACTCTTCTCAAAGATCAGAAAATGACTAGATTCTTAAGGAGATCAGCCTCTGTCACCCACGACGCTGTATGGATCATGGATCTGGTGGAAAATGCGACAGAGAGCTGAGGCTGAGCATGTTAACGTGCATGAGGAATCGACATCTTCTCACAGACGTTCGACGGACCTTAAGGATACCCTTAGCCAGCCACCAAGAGGTGACTGGCCTAACCGCCTGTCCGACCAGGTGGCGCCAACTAACAATCACGCTCCCCTGGTCCCAAGCCAGCAAAGGAAATGCCGATGGATAAGTGGCCGCCCTTCTGATGATGTTGGGTTTGGTGTTGCAGTGAGCGCCAGTAACAACTTTTGAGGGAATCACACATAGACTGGTACCGCCCACTATAGAAGCGGCACCCTCGCCTCTTCCGTTTTTTAACGCTGCTGACTGTGAATTAAGGCATCGGAACCCAACCCGGATCTTGACATTGCCGTAGGAACACGTCGAAGAGGGTGATAACCACCACCGACGAACAAAGAATGTTGGTAGGCATGTAGAGAGGGAGAGGGAGCAGGCCCCCCACTTAATGAAGCGTGCAATGTCATTTCCACGGCGTCAAGCAGTGCCCTTCGTGGCCGGCTCGGACCATGTGCCAATCATCACAGTCCAATTGAGCCAAGGCTGCATGTCTTGGCGTTTAGCCGACTTGAACACGGGACGACGTTGTGTCGCGAAGACGCAAAGGGCACATGGATCCCTAGGCTGTAGTGATATACCCCCTATAGCAGGTGCATGCGAGGGAGCAGGGGCCCCGCCAGGAACATTGCCGGTCAGAAGAGATTCATGATGACGACCGAGTTCACAAGCCAAGACTGGGGATGGATCTGGCCCAGGTTATCGCGGGGAACATACAGGGTTTGACGTCATTATGTGATGCACCACCACTCCCATCGAGAAGACAAGTCACCGGGTTGGAAGATCTAAGGGACCAAGTCTTGGTGACCAATATAAGAGAGTTGACTGACTTAAGAAAACATGCGGAGAGGGACACCACTGCAGACATCACCATAAAGTTGAACACTCCTTTTACCATAAAGGTGCTCTCGTCACCAACTCCACCAAACTTCCTAGTCCCATGGATCAGATATAACAACGAAAGCTTGGATCCACAAACTATCTCGACAAATTCCACACTAAGATGATGGTCATCAATAGGGGTGGGCACGGGCCGGTCCGAGCCGAGATTTATATAAACCAGACTCGGCTTGTTTTTATTAAAACGGTCCGGGCCGGAACGGGTTTTCAAAATTTTAAAATTGAAACCGGACCTAACCCGGCTTGTTTGAAACGGGTTGATACCACAGGTCAACGAGTCCAAACCTATCATGATACTAATATTAAAAAAATAAAGGGATAATAAATTAATTTAAGTCATCCAAAACAAAAAAAGACGTAAATGAAAATAAAACAATGACAAAGAGGGCATGAGAGTAAAGTGTACACCCTATGAATCTATGATCGTTCAACAACAAAAAAAAAGACAACTACATTTTGGCATTATAATGTCATAATGTCAATGGGTTCCAAAAAGAACAAAATTCACAATCTTCATGGGTTCCGACTCTCTGACTACGAAAGATTTTCTCACTTTTCTGTCTGTGATTGGAAGGACTGAAAGATTGAAGGGCTTAGGCGGGTATATTTACGTATATCCGTATATTTACTAAAAAAATATAATTAAAATTTAAAAAAACGGTCCGGTCCGGGTCCAATACAATTCCAAAATGGGGAACTGGACCGACCCTAAAATCAATAAGAACCGGACCGACCCGGACCGTTTAAATTTTTTGAAAAGAGGACCCGACCCTAACCTGGACCGAACCTAGCGGTCCGGTTCCGACTCCCGGTTCCTGGACCCGATTGCCCACCCCTAGTCATCAACTGTTCAGATGAGTTGATATGCTGATCATTCCTTTCCCCCTTGGAGGGCCCGGTGCACCTATGGTTTGCCGACCTGCCGGAGGGCAGGATCGATACTTGGGAAGGACGGAAGAGAAGGTTCTTATTACACTTCACCAGGAGACAGAAGGATAATCTTCATTATTCCTTCTTGTTCTATTGATATTCAATTATATGGTGGCGATGGATTTCTAGACACGTCTTGTCGGCAGTTAGGTGGGCTCCAAGATACCCCCTAGGCCGTGAAGTATGATCCTGCTTCACA